TCAGCTAAATCGGTTCAGTAGTTTCCGAGTCTACAGGGGATAAACAAACACACAAACATATATATATATATATATATATATATATATATATATATATATATATATATATATATATATATATATATATATATATATATATATATATTTATATATATATATATATATATATATATATATATATATATATATATTCTCGTTAAAAGTATTTGTTTGTGCAAATCATATTAAAGTAGAAACCTTGTCATCACTGTAATACGCTAAAGAAGAACTCACAATTGACATGAACAAAAGTTCAACTCTAAGTTAAGTTTTAACAGTACAGAGCATCGGAAAGGGAATCCGCGAGCTCAGGGGCCTTGAGCTACACCATCAGTCGCTATAGCCCTCATCACCCTTTTTCAAACGGGACGCGGGACACTTTTTGACGTTCTCCTTTCAAGCATTTGTACATACATTTTCGTATTATTTAATTAAATGTCATTCAATTGAGGCCTCAGAGATGTGGTTTAACACAAGAATGCTTATAATACCTTGGACAGCCAAAAAGAGCAACCAAGAGGTTTTGAAAAAGGCGAGAGCCCGAAGACAACTTATCACAGAAAGCTGAAGGAGACAGTCATCGTTTTCGGCCATGTTATGAGAAGAGGAAAATAGAACATGTTGTGACCACTGGAAGGATCTGTATAAGGAGGGATAGAGGAAGACAACGAGAGAAAATTCTTGACAGTCTTGTTACATGGCATGGACATGTGTCGGCACACGAACTGATACATGCTGCAGGAGATCGCAGATTGTGGAGTGGCATGATCGCACACGTCAGTCGGCAAGGCACTTGATGATGATGTTGATGATGTCATTCAATACATGGCAACAATATTTATTATTGCGCTATTAAACAAGATTTTATGTAGAATAATAACAATTATTATTGTTACTAATTCAAACAAGGCTTCAGCTCCTTGAGTCTCCCAGATGCCCTATAAAACTATACGGCGAGAGAGAAGTTATCTTTTTCATAACAAAATAAAGGAAATAAGGCACGCGGTCATGTCGTGGAAACATGTGCGTTTCTAGAATTCCAAAAGCTTGTGGATTTATATTTGTTCTTTTCCTTTCTTTAAAAAAAATAAACACTCATGTTGTTTGTTTGTTTTAGTATCCAGAAGCCATGAATTGTTAACTCTTAGGCTCGGTATTATGGAGATCGCAACCTTTCGGCCTTGATTCTATTGTAAATATCGTTAATCTGGGAGAAAATGCGGCTTCCTGCCTACCCTCGGGATTGAACCTGGACCACAAGGAGTTCGCCACCCGGTCTCCGGGCAATCCGGTTTAGCCAACTACGCTAGAGAGCCGGGCTAAACACTTATGTTAAATCAGGAAGCTTTAGGTTATAACTGTGACTAGGTTGTGTTTTTTCGCCATTAGAAATGGCTAGGCATTGTTCGTCACAAAGATCATTGGAAAGGAGGCATGCAGTGTTGATGCGATCAAAGAAGACAAACCCAAACACTGTCCAGACCGGCGACGAAGTCGTGTTCCGGCAAGCCAATGGGCGGGTCACCCCGTTGCCCTTGATGGAATGGAAGTTAACCGCTTTGTATTTCTAATGTCAAAGTTTGTGGTACCTGCATAGGACTGCAGGCTACAGGCATTAATGTAGCCTTGCGGATTTTCTAATTTTAACTTCTGAGGCGGTTGAACGGGGTATCTAACATTTTGAACTACAATGAAAACAGAACGACTATGTTGTTTTCAAACAAGCAATTTAAAAACTTTGCTGCATGTTACAATATCAAGTCTACTTTCTGTAATCTGTTCAATAATGTGTTCTGTGTAGTCAATACATTCCCACCAACACAGGACTTACGATAGTTTCAACATCACACACACACACACACACACACACACACACACACACACACACACACGCCCGCACGCACACACACACACACACACACTCACTCACGCACATATATACACACACACACGAGAGAGAGAGAGAGAGAGAGAGAGAGAGAGAGAGAGAGAGAGAGAGAGAGAGAGAGAGAGAGAGAATGTATCGATTAACACTCATAGAAAGAAGTATAAAGATATAAGGACACCGTAGACAACATAAAAATCGAAAGCTAATCTATCACCTCCAAATGGTAGCTGTGGCAACAAGTGTCTTGATTGGCCATGTCTATCGAACAGCTTGAAATCCACAACTATGGAATACCAATATAACTAATTAAAAGAAATGTATTTAACCTATAAATTTCATATATCTTGGACAAGTAATAACATGTGACGGCAGAAGTGAAACAGAAGTCAAGAAATGAATAGGGATGGCCAAAAACATTTTCAACAACATGCAAAAGTTACTGACATCAAGAGAAATAAGCAATATATTAAAAATGAGAATTGTCAAATGTTATGTATTCTCAACCTTACTGTATGGCACAGAGACATGGACAATGAACAAACAACTGGAAAATCGTATCAATTCATTGGAGATGTGGATATACAGAAGATTAGGTCGTATTTCATGGAAACAAAAGCTATCAAATACATAGGTATTGGGGAAATTGGGAATGAAAAGAGAGTTGCTAGGTAGGTGAAATAAAAAAGTGACAAGTGAAATATTTTGGTCACATTAAAAGACATAACAGTATTGTAAAGATCGTCCTAGAGGGAAAGGTTCAAGGTAGGCGACCAAGAGGCAGACAGCGTTACAAGTGGGAGGATAACATCAAGAGATGGACGAACAGCAGTATGAGCGAGTGTACATCAAAGGCAAGAGACAGGGCTTGTTGGAGATCCATCACAGCCAACCTTCAAAGTGGAGACGGCACCTGATTGATTGATGTAACCTATGGTGCAATTTCAGTGGTTTGAGATGAATTCTGTCTGTATTCCATAACCAATTAGGTATTTCCTAAACTAGTCTTCAACGTACTGGTGTTCTCTTTCTGTGACCCGGGGGTGGGGGAGGGGGCGGTGGGGGTTAGAAAGAGATAGCTACATGGCTTTCTGATACCGGCATGAGACTCGCACTGTGGAAGAGATTTCGGGCCTCATTCTTAATATTCACACAAAAACACAGCACTGGGTGCACATATCCATTGCAGCAGATCTTCGATATGAAGACGGCACAATAAGAAACTCGACAGCGAGCATACACAGAGAACACATCGATTGGCCCTCTTGATTAATATCCAGTCTCAGATGGTGTGTTCTCCTGCAACCTGAAGGTCGTGAGTTTAAATACAAATCGAAGCACCACGTAAGGTCCCAGGAAGTAAGGGTGATGGACATGATGATAACATCACCTGCTGAGTTCTGATTGGGCTATAAAATATAGGTCTAACACTATATACCAAAAAGACCATAGAGTGTACCTTTGCCTACATGGTGTATTCGCAGCCAACCTCTATTGTGGAGATGACGCTGCAAAAACAATGATAAATAATCCTTGGTAGTATTTTGTCGTCTTATAAAGAGATGATAATAATTGGAAACCGTACCCGCAGCAGTAACCGCACGAGGCTAAATGTGTTGACCAGTGACCACCTCGATCTAACCTGAATGTGTTAATGGTGCATTCCAGAATAGTAAACAGTGATTCTAAAAGCAGCAGAAGGGAGAAGAAAGATAAATTAAAGATGGAGAAGAAGAAGACGGTTTCGATGATGACGAGAAAATCAATAGTATCATTAACAGTTGTAGTAGTAGTAGTAGTAGTAGTAGTAGTAGTAGTAGTAGTAGTAGTAGTAGTAGTAGTAGTAGTAGTAGTAGTAGTAGTAGTAGTAGTAGTAGTAGTAGTAGTAGTAGTAGTAGTAGTGTGGTGGTGGTGGTGGTGGTAGTAGTAGTAGTAGTAGTAGTAGTAGTAGTAGTAGTAGTAGTAGTAGTAGTAGTAGTAGTAGTAGAAGTAGTAGTAGTAGTAGTAGCAGCAGCAGCAGTAGCAGCAGCAGCAACAACAGCAGTAGGCGTAGTAGTAATAGTTGTAGTAGACGGGTGAGGGGAGAGAAAAAGGAGTATGTGAAGGAGCAGGAGGAGGAGGAGAAAAAAAGGAGAAGAAGAAGCAGATTATTGCAGTAGAGGGGACAAGAAAAAGAAGATCACAGTAATCACAGTCGAGGGGAAAGGGAGAAGAGGCAGGCCAAGAAAGAACTGGATACACAATTTTACTGACTAGACAGGCCTTATGCATACAGCCCTGAAGCCCATCGCATTTGACCGCCAAAAATGGAGGGAGTTAATCATACAGTCTACAGCAACCGGTGATTTAACGATACGCTGTGTTACGGGATGATTTTGACGATTCTGTGTGATCGAGTCTAGTTCTATCTCAATTACCCCCGCCCCCTCCCCCAACAGAAAGTGGAATATTTTAGAGGGTGGTAGATAGGCTGCATGCAGTAGTGGGACCTCGGTTGCATTCTCTCGTGGTACGTAGGTAGGTTGGGGTTTGGCCCAGTTTTAGATGTTTTGGGGTAGTTAAAATCATCATAAAGCCAGGAAACCCGCTGTTATCACCCTCGAACAAGTTAGACTGTCTTGCGACGTCGGGAAAGGGGGGGGGGTGATATTGGGAAAGCAGCTCGAGTCTTTCTTGGCAAAACGGATTATCGTTCAAGAGAGCGTTGCACCCTTTTTGTGTGAGTGAAAGTGTGTCAGATGGACACGCCTAACACAGTTTTTCTATAGTGAACATCTGCGTTGTGCATATTTAGCAGAGCCAGTGCGAGCTCAAAGGCTTAAAATGCTTTGCCGTATTAACTTGTCCCTGACTCCTTGAATCAATCTCTTCTAGATCTCCCTTTGCCTCTTGGTGTTTATTATCAAGTTTTATGCTCTCGTTGATACATTCTCACTGTGTGGCCAAATCATTTCAGTCTTACACAGTTACCGTACGGATACCCTCACGAACTTATAAAAAGTACAAACTTCCGGTAATGGCCGTGGCGTTTTTTAGGCAATCTTAAACGACAAAGGAACAATTAGTAACATTTAAGATGCAACCGGGTCCTCCCAGATATTCTAGTCAGGGACAGCCTATGCGCCCTTCTTATCCCCAAGGAGGTTATGCTTCTGTAAGTATTAATTGGTGAAAATGAAAGTGTAAAAATTAAATAAATATTGAATCTCCCACCAATGCAGTGTGAGTGAACTACTGTAAGTGAGGGTGACTGATGTTGTCCATGATAAAAAGCGGCCATGCCAATTGGAGTATACGGAAAATCTCATACTGTTGTACTACATTTGAGACCTATTTATAAATGATTTTCATTTTATGAAGAGGACGCTTATGTACTTTACTACAGTCTACACTTTATGATTTTGGTTGAATCTGGGTAATCTTCCGAATAACAGCCACATATTAATTATTATGGCGGCCAAAATGAAAAACACACCCTGACAGTGACAGGGCCTCAGTCACATGTAAATTGCGGACTTCCAGCGACCTAAATTGCAGACTTCCGGCGACTATACCGCCACCGCCGAGAGTATCTTCTGCTTCGCTGTGTGGGGTGCAGGGCTAAACTAGATGGCTAGGACTCATGAGCAGCAGCTTCCGCATCTCCTGCAGCTTTGCTCGTGAGTCACAGTAATCTGGTTTAGCTCTGTGTAGAGATACTCTCGGTGGTGGCGGTCTAGTCATCTGATGTCTGCAATTTACATGTGACTGAGGCCCTGTTTTTGGCCGCCATAATATGTGGCCGTTATTCGGAGGATAGCCTAAATCTGTTTCTCCTGTGTGTTTACCTCATTTGTGTCTGCATTGTGTATGTTGTTTTATTAGTAGATATGATATTTGCCATCCATGATTTTATATTTTTAATTACATTGGTACTATGAATTTTAAAATCTGCTAACATAATATGCTTGATATATAAAATACCCTTGCCGTATGAAAGGTGAGTGCTTGAAAAGGCTAACTGTAAGACAGGCCAGTGTGCCTGATTTGTAACCCTTTGAATATTAAGCTCATTTATTTAGTTCGTTCCTTTTATTGTTATAATGAAATATATATGTAGTAACACATCCATTTAAATCATGTACTTTCATGTTTCAAAATATTTATAATATAACTGTAGAAATGTGCATTTTACGTACATCATTGATGGTAATGATCTGAGAATTATTACAAAATATACATTGGCAATAATAGGTGTTTGTAATAATTGTCAAACTAAATGGGATCTTTTCAACACATTAAGCAAAGGGATAGACACAGTTGTGCACCATTACCCAGTCTTGAGATTGTTCAATATTCAAAGGCTAAAATAATTAGGTACATACACTTAGGATATGCCAGGATTATAAGTTTTTCGGTATTATATAATTAAAATAATATACGATGAAGACGTTTCAGTTACTGAAAACAAAATGTAGTTTGAAAAATAATAATAGATATAATTGTAGCAAAAGAACCAAAAGGTCTTTGATTCGCAGAACAGAAAAAGAAAAAAAACTAATTTTTTAAAAAATTGTCTTCCTTAATAAGTGTTACCACTGGAAAAGTTTCGTTTTTTTAAAAATTTATTACGGCCATTCCCATTGGTATCTAAGAATAAGCTAGAGAATGGAACATATACTTAGTTATATCTGTAGACCTTATTAGATTTCATAGTTTTAGATACTTTTAATTCCTGAAGTGTGTTGATGGAAATTGTTACAGTGGCGTGGTTTTTTTTTTTCCAAGTGCAGTTACAGAATGTATTATTTGGTAGTTTTTTTCTTCACTGCAATGGTTTGGGTTTTAAAACATTGTTGAGTGAGTAATTAACCCTTTCACCTCATTTACTTTTTTTAAAAAGGTGCGGTTAAACTTAATTGCTTGGGATGTCCTGTCTTCAGCTCAAAATATTAGTGGGATGTCCCATTTTCAGCTCAAAATTCGTGAAATGTCTCGTTTTCAGCTCAGAGTAGTAGTGGGATGGTTGGTTTTCAACATGGGATATTATGTTCACTCTATCAATAATGCAACTTCAAAATAAGTGAGACAAGTGTGAATCAAGTCATTAGTTCAAATATGTGTGTACAAAGAATATGTTTCTCCTATGTGTTTGCATTGTGTATGTTGTTTTGCATGCATATTTATTAGTAGATATGATTTTTGCCATACATGATTTTGTATTTTTAATTACATCGGTACTATGAATTTTTAAATCAGCTAACATTATATGCTTGATATATAAAATACACTTTCTGTATGAAAGGTGAGTGCTTGAAAAGGCTAACTGTAAGACAGGCCTGTGTGCCTGATTTGTAACCCTTTTCACAAGATTTAGAGCTTTCTCTACAAAATTTATGTAAATTGAGCTCAGAAATAATTACAAATATCCTGGTGTATGGAAGTGAATCATGGACAATGAGTAAGAAATAATGAAAGCTGCAGTGATGTCATTTTTTAAATGAGAACCTCATAGTTAGATAAAAGACATAAGACATATCTTGCAAGAAATCAATCACAGATAATACTAGTTACCAACATCATTTCCTGTCCTATATGGGGGATGGGCAGACTGACTGTTTTTGTCTTAGCAAGATATTTGTTTCTGGGCACAGTAAACTTTTTTTCCCCCCTCCAATGTGGCTTGAAAGTGTATAGCTCCGCCAGGCCTCCTGAGTTAAGCACATAGAGTGAGTTTGTTAACTGCAGATTTTATTTGGAAAGAAGACAGTCCACAACTCTTAGGCACATCATGAGAATGTGAAAGTTGCAGGAGGTGACCAAGAGAGAAGGTGCTAGACCAGGGCTATTCAAGTGGTGGGCCAAATGTGGGAAACCTAACGAGTGGCCGGCAGATCTTTGACAGCTATATTGTGTTAATGATCTTTCTCTGCTACTATCTGGTCTGTGAATATTCCCATTTTCAAACTTTCGACTCCAGAATAAAATATAGTTGAATAGCCCTGTGTTAGACAGTCTGGCATCATGGCAGAAATGATTGGGAGTGCACAAGCTAGAAAGCTGCAGGCAGATATAAACTAACACCACATGGCATGGACTTCATGAAATCATATTTTGCATATGTATTATGGCTATCTGATGTGAATCATTTCGTAATTGAACATTGCTTCACCAGTCTAGAAAACGATTAAACAGATTTTTGTGTATGCCTTTAGATATATAAAAAAAAAAGGACCCTAGCCTAAATGGGAAGGATAGAGGACTTTGGTGTCAGTGAATCCACATCACTCGCCAGAATAGCAGACTTGGGAATTATGATCGGCACAGCAAAAAATGAGACGCACACCAGACACGTCAGAAGACTTGTTAATCAACATAGAACTGGTACTATTAGCCATCGGACGTTGGGGTTCATACTGAGGGGAGGATCTGAGCACCTATGGACATGTCCGGAGTGCAATGATGATAACCCAGCTAACTAACTAACTAACTGATTTAAATCCTTGACCTTTAGGCCAGCAGGCAAACATCTAGCTGTCAAGCTACCATGACCTCTCTATACTTGCATGTAACTAATTAAAAACTACAGATAAGACACCTTAATTGCAATATCAGTTTACATAAGAAATCTTGTATGTTCTAGCCTTATGTATTGAAGATTCATTTAGCACCATCATCATTTTTGGGAGGTGTTCCAAATATTTTTTTTGTGTGTGTTTGGAATTTGAATTTGTTGATAGTTATAAACATTTTTTGGGTTTTTAAAGTTGGGCTAAAATTACAATCTAAATGGGTAGACAACATTCCGAAGTTGCTCTTTACATCTGTCACCTGGATTCACACATCTGGGCATGCTGGGGTAAAAGGTATTGAATGAGCAAACCAGTTGGCAGGTATTGCACCACTGCATGTCGGAAGATGTCTGGACAGAGCTATCCTCAATGCTCTACAGACTAGACTGGCCGGTTGTGATGAATCATTGATGCTAAGATGACCAGGGAATAAATCCTGGTAAAGCAAATCAGCGCTATGTTCGTAGTCAACTTCTCATTAGAACAATCAGTAGAGGTCCCTTCAAGTGGTTGCTGCATCAAAAGACAGAGCACACTTGGGACTGGCCAGTGTGCAAGGACATTGATTCTGACAAAACATGATCCAGCAGACTTCTGAAAATAAAAATTTATACAAAAATTTAAAAAATTTCCCAAATATTTTTATTAGAAACTAGACATTAAATAATACTCTTTACAATATGTATCTACAGTTTAAAAAAAAAATCACAAATAATAAAAACAGGGCATGCCTGAATAACTGCTTCTTCTCGTGTTTACTGGCTGTAACCTCAGACAGAAAGTTCTGGTTGTTAATCCACTTCGAAACTTTGGTCTTGTTCCTAAACTCCAAAAGATGTATCATCTCAGAATTGACAGTCTGAGTGTTTAGTCTTTGCATCAGAGATTTAGTAATTACAACTAGGCTGCCTATTGCCACAGTTCTATCTGGTGAAGTATATTGAACATCAGACATATACAAGAAGCCTTGTCCACCCTTTGGTAGATTAAGAAGCTTCCTAGTCATGTCTTGCCTAAAGGTATCTGCCTTTCACTGTCTGCAGTATCTGTATGCCTTAGTAACAAAGATGTTCCTTGGCTGACATCAGGTCTGCTTGCCAAGGATATTGACTTTCAGGAATCCCACAACACCCAGCCTAAGAATGGAGATGGAGGTTGTCACTGCAGCTTGTTGCTGGAAACATGTGACATACACATCAAGATTGTAACCAACTCAGAAAGCATGCTGAAGAAGGTGAGGGCAGGCATGCTTCATACAGAGTGGCATGCTTCGCTTCAGAGGTCACGGGTGAGGAGCATTGTCTGGATCTTTTCTCTGAGGCATGCCAGTGTGTTGGGAAATGAACATTAGTATTGTAACTCTGAGCTGGCTGCCGAAAATGGGGACAAAGCGCTTATGGAAATGCCCCCAGTGCTGTGATGTCTCTTCTTGTATCAACTCAACTCATTGACTTCTAATGCCTTTTTTTTTAAATTGGGCCTTTATTCTCTTATGACCAGATAACAGTTTTCTCTACATCTGAATTGCTTTGAGCAGTTTTCTTGAAACCTAAAGAAAGAAATTAGTAACAGCCTTCGTTATAAGGTGTATATGAAAGACACTTCGACCTGCACTCATCTAACCACTGAGTTACACCCATCCTTTATTTTAAGGTTTATTAAATGAGGCTACAACAAAATGTCTATCATTGTCATCATCAGAATTCCCCTCGTGTGTGCTGTGGTCTGTTTCCATGTTGGAAAGAAGAGAATAGATCTACTGCGCAGGCTTCATTTAAAGAGGCAAAAATAAGGGTGACGGCAGTTGAGCTAAATCCAAGAAATTAATTCAGCGAACTGTAATTAAAACGCTTAATGGCCTGTTAAGCTTTTTAGTCACAGTTCACTGAATTAATGTCCATGAAAGAGGACTAATTAAGGATTTGAAGTTTAATTCCCATTTGTATTCTGGGTCAGTTGTTATCAGTCTGTACATGTCCATTTATTTACTTTGCGATAATGTATAATCCTTTGCTGGGCCATATATTGAATTATCATTATTAATCAAATGAAACCCTATTTTTAAAAACAAAGCTCCCTGTGTGGGTTCCAGGGCCCTATAATAGGGAAAACAAGAATAGACCCACTGCCTACCCAAAAAGTATATCGTAAGAGTTGACTAATTGGGAGCTTCCTTCGAAGTCAAAGTGCATCTACCTGAGAGGCAAGGAACCAAAAGTCTGCACACAGATTAGTCAGATCTGTCAAACGGATGCACACACAATACTTAGGTTTTGGAACAGAACTGCAATCTAGAAATGGACGAACAACTAGAACTTTCCACCAGAGTTTACAGTTGGAGAACGCAAAGAAGAAGCAGAAAACAAAGTGCAGGAGGACATTCTCATATTGTATGCAGAATTTTTCTATTTGAGTTTTCAATGTCTGTTACAGTCTAAGGTCTGATTTATGCACAGGCTTTCAAACAAGGAAATAAAAGGAATGTTTGAAAATTATGAACAGGAAGAAAGTGAAATAAAAAGTTTGGCAATAGTGACTGGCTCAAAAGTTCAATTAAAATAAAAAGATTTGTTTTGAACGTTTGAGTTTGTGAGTTTGACTGTTTTTAACACTCTGTAGTTAACTTTTAATGTTGCATACAATTTTGTAACAAGATTTATGTGAGGCCCTGTTTAATGAACATTATATTTTTCTTCATATATGTTGTAACATTGTTGCTTTATTTTATTTGTTTCAAGAGCCCAAGACCGGGATTTCCTCATTCTGGCCCTCCCATGGCCGGTGGAAGGATGGGAATGTCTACTCCTGGAATGTCTCCTCATCCACCCTTTACAGGTAGAAATGTGCAAATTAAATCACTTGTTTACTAATGTTTGAAATGCTGCATCTAAAAATTAAAGATTATTTAAATAGAGAAAACAACCCAAATATATTTCATGTTGATTCACATTGAAGGCAAGATATATATATATATGTAAAAATCTAAACCGCTAATCACTCCACAGCAACACACTGTAGGAGAGCAATTGAGCTTAGTGGAAAATGGTTAAATCAGGTTGACACAGTCAGTCATGTATTAAATGTATACAGCTGTTTCTGCTACAATTTAACCAGAGCATTTGTTGAAAAGCTTTCATTGCCCAAGTGTTGGATTTTTGAAGCTTCAGGGATACAGGTTTGTTTTGTTTGATCATGCCACACAGAAGTGAGTTTTTTTTTTTTTAAAACATGACAGCTATTGTTGAAAACCTGGATGAAAATTCATGTTACCATAATATTTAAAATAAAGTGAAGAGTATGTTTCCATCATGGCTTAAGTTGCATCCATCTTTTGCATTTCTTTAAAATTCCATGTAGGTTTTTTTAGGAGTATTAATCTTGTATATTGAATAATTTAAGAAAAAGCAAACAGTGAGAACATTTCATTATCAGACAGGTATTTAAATCTCTGTCTGTATCTCTCTCTCAATATATATATATGTATATACACACACACACACACACTACTCTCTCTAGATATAAACATACTACTCTCTCTCTCTCTCTCTATATATATATATATATATATATATATATATATATATATATATATATATATATATATATATATATATATATATATACATATACATATATAAACACACACACACACACTACTCTGTTTCTATATAGATAGAAAGATATATTTGGAAAAAGGGGAGGGGTGGCATCAAATCATGTTGCACTTCAATATAGTGCTAGGGTATAAAGTAAGATGGAAAAAAAATGCACCAACTTGGGGGTTGAAATATTTGAACTAAATCACCAGTTATCCTGACTCTTCACACTCAGTTACAACCTTTTAGACCACACCTCATATAATGTCTTTCTATGAAATATAAATGCATATGCTGCCTGCTACTTACTCAGAGAGTTTCTCCGTGTATCAAGAAATTATCATGTTTCCTCTGTAGCCTCCTCCACTCCTTCAACCGTCTCCATGAAAAGCACAAGTAAGTTTGCATCCTCCCATCCTAGATGTAGCTGTATGGAATGTGAGAAAGTAGCAGTGAATGTTAAAATGTAACTGCACTGTTAAAACCAATAGACGAGCGATAGATCATTTGTATAGCTAGACATTATTTCTATTTTTGTTTTTAAATGTATTTTTAAATTGATGTCCTGTTCTGAAATGAAATTGGGGCAATAAGTCATACATTAAATTAATACTGCTTTTCGTAAAGCTTTTTTGAAAATTGCGACATGATAATAAAACTGACGTTTTTCTTACTTACTAAGGTATCTCTTGTTGTCTCCTCCTTCTCTTCCTCCGCTGTCTTTCGTCTACGAATGGAGCTCGGTAAATTATAAGACTTTTTTTTATATGCCATCAGGCTTATTGTGCACATAGTGCTAGACCTATATTTTATAGACTAGTCAGCACTGTTTGGAGTTGAACCCACTACCTTCAGATGCAGGTCCAAATGTTTCAATTTTTATTGCTCATGACCAGTTGTGTTTCGCAGCCTTTCTTAGCAGCCTATTAAGACATGCATTTTAGGTTGCAGTGTTACTGTACTTTGTAGCATCTTCTCGACTTAACAACCATCCACACTTAAAACATTAATTAATTAATAAATTAATAAAAACAGTAAATAAAGAAAGGTGACTACTGTGTAAAAGGATTCCTATTACTGATACCTTAGAGTACATATTATGTATTTTTTTAGGATTATTCACAATAATTATACATACATAGATTGCATTTTTGTTTTGTGTACAATTTTTATAACCTGTTTGGATGAAAATAGTGTTCAAAAATATAAATTTGACTTACAACCTGTAAGTTGGAACAGAACTCAGTCGTAAGTCGGGAAGACCCTGTATTTTAAAAGAAATAAGTTTTCACCGAAGTTTAAGTGGAGCATATTGTTATATATTATAAATGCGTTGCTTTAGGGCCAATAATTGGTTTTCACATGTGTGTGTGTGTGTTTTTTTTTTTTAAATCAAAAGGGGGGATATGATTTTCCCTGACAGAATATTTGAATAGTTTACTGCTACAGAGTGTCTACATGATCTTATAGGTTCCTGAAGAAGAGCGGTTATCTGTGCATCCAAATGTCCTTCAAAAAGGCTTAACTCTTTCAATACTATCTAAGCAGTTTACCATGTGCTTGCTGGTTACTAATTAGATGATTTCCTTGTGTGGGTTCCGGGGCCCATTGTCGGGATGACAGGGGAATAGATCCACTACCCCCAACAAGTATCTCGTAAAAGACTATTAATTTAGGGGTATTTCTTTCGCAGTCTGGCTATATCTACCTGAGAGGCAAGGAACCAACAGTCTGCATTCAAATAAGACAGATATACATGCAAAACTCAGGTTCTGGAACAAGACCAAAGTCAACAAGTAGATAAAAGGCCACAACTATTTACCAGAGTTTACCATAACTAGTCACCTCCTTGTGGGATGCAATTTTTCGTTATTTTTTTTGAAGCCCTAATCTGGCTCTAGCCAGGGGCAATATAGCCCGCAAAATGGCTAAACGAACGTGGTTTCCGGGACCTCTTCACGGTGATCCTCATCCACTTTGTGGCCTCAGGTGTTGTGATGTCCTAGTGGAGTAAAATGTACTACTACTACCTGAGTTTACAGTCACTGAACGCGAAGAAGAATATGCTCGCACAATCCATATCTCTGCCACCTGTCCCCTCTCTCTCTCTCAGATGGAGCATTTGAACCCATAAAGTAGGTCAGATATTCTAAAAACTTACAGAAGATTCAGTTACAGGAAAAGAAATTGGACATAAAGTATCTTATGCCTTACTTTCCTGTTACACTGAATGAAAGCTACTGGCGCCATTAGTATCGGAACTCTTTGCTGGCTGCTGAAGATGGGAACGGAGCGCTTATGGGAATGCCCCGAGTGCTGTGATGTCGGTTCTTGAATCAAATCAAACTGTTACACTGAATTTATAGGATTTTTGAGGAAATATAACTTTGCTGATTCATTGAAATGAATATGATGAATAAGAATTAGATACTTTTCTTATCTGCTTGTCACTCATTCAGTTGTTTTATTACTTCATTTGTCACTTCAACTTTTCTGCTTTTTTAACTTCTTCAGGTGTGAACATTTATTAGATAATAACGAGTTAAAATAACATCTGTCTAGTATTAAAGAGTTTATATGTCACCCACCATCGCCTTGGGTTGTGATTCTTATGACTCCTTCTTCTTCTCTGGTCCTATTCTGCCTTTCTGATGCAATTTTTGAAGAGGCATTGGGTGCACGCCTTGGTATTTAAGCCCTTGGATGTGCCATTTGTTCCTATAGCACAATATAACACTCATCTGGAAAGATAGAAAGGTGCCAATCTATGAAAATACGGATCGGGCACCATATACTTTATCCTACATGTGAGATGGGTTCATGACTTTACTTATGCATACTACAACATGCCCTATATGTATTGCAGTTACTAGAGACTTTTTGAAAGTAGAAGCCCCCTTTTCCACACCTTCAGACATATAGTGCTAGACCTATATTTTATAGACCAGTCGACCCTGAGTAGGTGATTTGGTCAGCATCATGCCGGCAATTCTTACAAGCCAGAACTGTACCTGGTACCCGTCTAAACCGGGTCAACCTGGTAGCAAAGGTCATTTTTGAAAAAAGTCTGGCACCGCCAGTACCAGAACCTATAACCTTCTGATCTGGAGGCGAACATCTAACGGCCACCCTACTTTTAAAAGCCAATTATTTACATGGTTATTATAAAAATAAAGGCGCAGCTGCCCGAAAGGACAAGAGAGCTGGGCTCTTCTCTGGGAGACCCAGGTTTGATTCTTAGTCAGGTTATCGTAACCTGCACAATCTGTGGTGACTGCACTAGCACTGTGACCCTAAATCCTCAGACTGAAAGATCCGTCCCTGCCTAAATCGCAGAAGTGGTGAATGCAGACATTAATGATAAAATACAAAAATTTAACATGTAATTATACAGGTTATCATATACTTACAGAGTTGCTCGTGCTCCGTGTACCAGTTTGGGATACAACCATATATATTCTGCTCCATATATGTTTTTGGTTCCCCTGTTTTGGTTGGGGGGGGGGGAAGAATAGACCCACAAGCATGTTGTAAAAGGCGACTAAAGAAATATTTGCTGAAATCAGATGTGTTGAGCTGAAAGGCACAGATATCAGAGCCCAGCTGTAAATCAAACAGTGTATCAACCGCTGTTTTGAAATATGAACACAAAAGATATTCTGCTGAGTGACCACAGTCATCCTGTGAGGAATTTATCCTGAAGCGTCTGCAGCCTCCATCTGCATATAAAATATACTTTTCTTTTTGCATTAAGTGAGTTTGAAAAGTTAATTTAAAAAAAAAAATACCATGAATCTCATATGTTTATTTGGTACTCCATTGACAGGACAACATTTCTGACTCTCTTTTATCCCAGATAGCTGTTGTGTTAATTCACTCTGTCTGAATTCCCCATGTAGGGAAAAGTTAGAATTGACTTACTGCTCCTTAACAGTCATATCACAAAAGGCTGCAAACTGAGAATTTTCTGAAATTGGATGCGTAGGACAGAAAGACGTAGATATCAAAGCCTAGTTGTTAATGACAGAACAGCATATGAGTTAACCCTTTGAAGAGCACACACAGAAGAAGATGTCTAAATTGTGTTAGTTTCACTGCCTCTGCCATATAATGTTATTACTTTGACTTTTGTATATATGTGTGGACTCTCGCACATCAGTTTTTCCCTTTCCCGAATCCTTTATTGATGTTCTGTGCACATAGTGCCCACATTGTTATCCTTCTGATTTAGATTGCTTT